CCCCAAAACCCCAAAACCCCAAAACCCCAAAACCCCTCACTAGAGGTAGCAAGTATAATAATAAAATCTTAAAATGGACATCGAAACAGTATATAGGAACGTTCCTTCTTTCACAAAGTTCTATCTGGCTACCTTTATTATCAATACTTGATTGATCTCACTCGAGTTGGTAGAGTTTTCAGACCTTGAACTTGACTACGAGAAGGCTATCCTTGGCCTTGAAGTATGGAGGTTTTTCACATGCTTTGCCTTCTACAATGGATTTTCAATCCTATTTGTGATCATAATCGTGCTTTCGCATGTATGATTAAGCACAATTGAGCATTATTTCAGAAGAAGAATGCAGGATTTCATTTTCATGATAATCTTTGTCTGGTGATGCCACTTGACTCTCGGCTGGCTGCTCGATACTCATCATGACATGATGGCAGAGTTCATGTGATCTTTTATGTACATTTACTGCAGGAGAGAAAGAGAAGACAGAGTTGAGATCTTCGGTGTGGCAATAAAAGCCAGAATTTTCCCTTGGGCTTGGATTGTTCTATGAAAAATTTCGGGCTATCGGATCATCAAAATCATAGCAGGTTATACCATCGGGCATCTTTATGATTACCTCAAGTTCATTATGCCTGAAACACTAGGCTATTCCTTGTTGGAGACACCAAGATTTTTGAATTGGATGGTTATGAAAATTGAAAAGCGTCAACCCCAACAAGCTAACGAGGTAAGACACTCAAGACGAGAATTCTTAGTGAAAATAGCCTCTCTGTTGGTAGCTATTAAATTTTAAGCTTATGACAAAAACTTTACCCTTCTAACATTATAGGTTGATCTTGTTGATCACGGAGATGCAGGAGAACTAGCCGAATAGTCAACTTACTTCCTAAAACTTGTTCAAATTATCAAAAGTGTAAACCAAAATAATAAGATCTTTATATAATAACTAGCATTTCCAATTTTCCAAAAGTTTGGTGGGGTTTTGGGGTTTTGGGGTTTTGGGGTTTTGGGG